TTTTTTCTCTACACAGCCCAAATCTGTGGCCTTCCTTGACTGCACAGTGTATGGTAGCGGTGGGAAGGAAGAAAGGTTCAGACAAGGACGTCCCTTTCAGTGGAGGAATAGGGGCAGTTGGAAGATTCAAAGAAGGAAATCTTTTTGAGGTGGTAATACAAACCTGAAAGCAGGGCAGGCAGGAGCATTCAGGAAGGTGACTTTCTCTAAAAGCTTCCAACCCTTAAGGTCTTATCCCCTGGGTGATGCAAGTGAAAACCCAAAGTAGTGCTACAGAGCTTTAACCCATATCTCTCCTACTTTGTGATTCTGTCTGAAATTATCTTCCCCAGGTGCTGGTGTCTCATTTGTGGAGGCTAAAAGGTCCAGATAGCAAGGAGAAAGCAGTCTGGTTTCAACCCATTCCTCTAATAAACATAGGGACAGACTAGGATTCAGAACTGATGATCAACAATATTTCAAGAACAGCCCACAGTAAAACCAGAAGGCCCACAGCACACAAGGCTGGGGAGAATTCTGGAGAAGGCAGGTAGAGGGAAAAGTAAGGCCAGCCTTCATGATTGACCTGTGGCTTAGTGAAAGCTGCCCTTGAGCAAAAGTGAGTTTTGCAAACTTTGGGGTAGTAGAGCTATGGGGCAAGACTTGGATACTGACTGAATTCTCAACAGTAACAGAATATTGAAAAGGGCAGTAGAGTCTTCGTTTGCACCTTCCCATAGTGTAATGAGTGCTTAATAAATAAGCGCTGTTGACTGACCCTTCAAATGGGGGTGGGAGGATGGAAAGGGTATTGTTGAAGGGGGAAGGAGGGAGGTGGTGAATTTATACATGTTTCAACTCTCATAGGAAAAACAAATGGGCCAAATAAAACTATCATCCGCTTATCTTTCCACAATGGCATAAAATGAAAAAAAGAAAAAGTTTCTTCTAAAAACCATTATATTCTGCTCCCAGTAGTAAGCCCAGTTACAACTAGAACTACAAGTAAAATTGGCTTGCATTAATGAAAATATGTAATTATATCACAACCAAAGCTCTGAAAACTCAAAATATTCAGTGCAAAGAAACCCCAAAGAGACATTTACTATAGTGCTTGGGAGTAAAAAGCAAAGCATTATAACAATAAAAACATTTTCCAAATGAATCAAATGATGCTCAGCTAACTTTGTGTTACTTCACATCAATAAAGAAAAACACATCAAGAAATCTATACCTTAAGTAAGCAATGATGTTATAAATATGACTGAAACAGCTCTGAACTATTTCCAGCTTTGCCTCTAAAATTCCTTTGGTCTGACGGCAGAACATATTTCCTGTTCTCATACTCCATGGGAAGTAGCACACCCATTTCAATCTTTGTCACTTTTTTCCTGTATCAACATCCACGGGAGGAATGATTTAGGTGCTGCCTACCCTAGGTTAAGATCTGAGATCCAGAAGCCATCTGGCAATGAGTCTCAAACTTTTGTCAGAACTACCTGGAGAGCCTGTTACTATCCTGGGATCTTTTCCAGATACAGTGTTTCAGCAGGTTTGGTGAAGGATTCAGGAATCTGCATTTCTAACAAGAACCCCATATGAAAAGATCTTATTTATTTATTTGACAGAGACAGAGATAGCAAGAGCAGGAACACAAGCAGGGGAAGTGGAAGGGGGAGAAGCAGGCTTCCCGTGGAGCAGGGAGCCCGATGTGGGGCTTGATCCCAGGACCCTGGGATCGTGACCTGAGCCTAAGGCAGATGCTCAGTGACTGAGCCACCCAGGCGCCCCATCCCAGATGATTCTAAGAGAGGTGGTCCACATGTCCTTCTTTGAGAAATTCAGGTTAAGTAACCAGAGTAATTTTTCATGTCTACTTTCCAATCAAGGAGAGTAAGTTTCAACCTCTCTTTTCTAAAAAGCCCATAACAGGGGTAGACAGGATTATAGAAAAATGCATGAAGGCGTATATAACACAGCTTTCATGACTTACAAAATATATATGTTTACTCATAATCCAAATAGTCAGGAAATTCAAATAACTAGAATTTTCACTTTACCCTATTCATTAAGTGAGGTTCATTATGAAATGAGGCACTGCAAGATTCTGACTTGCTTCCTGAGTCATCAATGATTAAATTAAGCTCCCCAGAGTTTTAGCACTGTGAATATTTTATTATATTCTTTGAAAATTGGTTATTTTAAAATCAGATTATAACTCTTGGGTAACATTGAAATAACTAAATTTATTTAAGACATATCTTTAAAAATTACTCCAGGTAAACAGGCATTTTCTGTACCAATCTAATACTAGAATATGATATACTGTATTATAAGTACATATTTTTTTCTGAACATAATGAAAATAGCCTACTTCTTTAAACATATCAATTACATGGGGCAATATTTACTCCACCAATCTCCAAATATGATAAGGCTCTGTCTTATAACGAAACAGTATTTTAAGTATATTCAACTACCCTTGAGGAAAACCAAGAAAGGCAATTTTGATTTTTTCCATGTTATTAAAGCATAATGGAAAATGAAAATGGTAATTCTGTAATTTTTGAAAATGTGGTTTATTTAAATGTGAAACTATGTATAATTTACAATGATGAATAACAGAATGAGTATACCTACAAGGCTCGTGGCTAGCTCCTCCAATGTGAGGAGAGGATTCAACCCACAGGACTGCTCACAGAAGCAGTCGCTCCGGCTCATTCGCTGTCTGCTCTCCACTCATCTCTGCGGCTCCTGGTATCTTCCAAGGATGTACACCATAAAACAGAGCTTCACTGTTACCAGACGTATACCACATAAAATTAACCTCTGAGACTCCTATAGGCAAAAGATTATACCGGCCTTTATGTTTAGCGTCATAGTAAGGAACATTTTAATAACACAGGACTGACTGTAGACAACAGTGGTGAAATACAACTGATCCATTCCAGTCAGAAGCTGACACAACTCTAATGACCGACACTACCACAGTTCCAATGATGATGATTCTAGAACACTGTCATAGCTGAGATCTAAATCTCAATGTTATTCACACTGAGGAAAATAAATTTACATTTAGATTTTCTGCCTTTTGAAAGCAGAAGCGCTGAGCATAAAAAGGAAGAATTCTGGGACACAAGAGTTGGGAAAAACTAACAATAAAATGCATAATGTAGCAGAGTTGAAAGACTAACAAGGTCTATCATTTCAAAGTAAGATAAAATGGGAGAATACATTAGTTTCAAAAGAACAAAAATAGTTAATAGTGAAGAACAACAATAACCTATTTTAGAAATAAAGGAAGAAGTCAAAACTTAGGTTTCAAAACTGTACCCAATAAGGACAGAACAGAGAATTTACCATTAATATGTTTATTTTAGGTTTTTGGTAAATATTTTTTATGAGATTTAAGAAGTTCCCTTCTAGTTTGCTAAGAATTACTTTTTTTACAAAAAGGCATATGGAATTTGAATTTTATTAGATGGTTTACTGCATCTAAATGAGATGATCATATTTATTTCATTTATTCTATTGTGACAAATTATATTGATTTTCTAATGTCAAACCAGTCCTACATTCCTGGAATAAATCCAACATGGTCATGATGTATAATTCTTACTTGTGTGTTGCAGGATTTGGTTTGCTGGCCACTTTAGTTTGAGGATTTTTGCATCTTTGTTCAGTGAGGCTGGCCTATAAATTTTCCTTTTCTGCATCAAGGTTATGCTAATCAGGAGAGCACCCCCTTTTTCTATTTGCGGATAGGGAATTTGTCATTTAAAAAGGGAAGCGCTGAAGAGTTTATGAATTTTCAAAGGTCTGTCTTATGCATGATCATTGTTAAGAGTGACTACAATGAAGAAGAGCAAAGGGATGTTAAAAATAAATCACATTTTCAAGCAGTTGGTCCCACAAACCTTTGATTTAGAAATGATATTATATGATGGGCATTTTACATTATTTCATTTCATTCTCTTGACTATACAATTATCATTTTTAAAAATGAGGAAACTGAGTCTTAGACTACTTAAATAACTTGCCTAAAGTCATACAACTAGTATGTATCAAAGCTGAAATTTGAGCCTGGGTCTCACTCCAGAGACTGTGCTGTTAAACACTCCTCCTTTTTTCTTTTTTTCTCTTTCAATGCAGGGATCCAGTGTTTTGGAAGACTTTTCATATACCTGCTAACAGTAACAACCCACAGGTCTGCAGCCAAAATAAACATAGCTCTTTTCCAAAGTGCTGAAATTATAAAAAGTCTAAAATGCCTGAGCTTCACTGCCAAAGGTTGGTAATGATTCAAAATATACTAACAGAGGAGACCAAATTAAGAAAATGGACTAAAAATAATTATGGGAATCCTAATTAAGGTAAACATTTAAATATATGTAATGAATGTTCATGGAGAAGTTTTGTAAAATACATATGTAATCCAACAGATTGGACTTCACTGCTAAATTTCAGAGTACTTCCCTCCAATTGCATATATGTAGTATGCTCCTTCCACTCTAGACACAATTTTTCATTTCTAACAATTCTATTATAGAAATTCATTTTAGAATCAACGGGGTCTTTAAAAAGTCACTGAAAAAGTTACAAAAGGAAAAAAATTACTATCTATCTGCATGAAGTCCAATTTCTGCCAGGGGACTTAGGTTTGCTTCTACCTGGGGTAACTACCAACTGGGAACACTCTATTTTCTCTTTGCTTGAAGCTTTCTGGATCATGGTGGTTGGTGGCAGGAATTAGAATCACACTCTGAATGAGGACCAACTGGTTTCTTTGCTATTCCTTTCCAGAGACAAGTCTAGTTCTCATTCATCCTGACTGTGCCTAGCTTTATGCCAGGGTCTTTTATCAGAATTCATATCTTGGGTGTTATTTTTGTTGTTGTTTTCTTTCTTAGTGCCAGAGAAAACGATGCCTCATCCAATTAAGAGTATATGAGATGAAATATAGTGTATTTGAAATAATGTACATGCAATTTATGCAGCACACAGACAATATTTTCCATACCTTATTCTCCAAAGACATTTTAATGATTGCCCATGATTCCATCATATGATAATCCATAATCCATTCTCATTTTTGTAGAATTGTTTCTCATTTTCATCAGAGTATAAAGCTGTAATGAATATCATTTTCATATCTCTTCATGTCATTTCTGATCATTTCTTCAGAATAAACTCCTAAATTAAAACATAAGGTCAAAGGGTATAAAGATTAAAACATTTTTTTAAATGTATTGCCAAATTGACCTATAAAAATGCTCATCACTTTACACAACTACCGGAATTTATGTAAGGGGCCGATTTCCCCTGAACTAAAATAAAATCTGTCTAATTTCTTATGTAGCTCTCTCAGTTGTTAATCAATCTGCATTTACATCTGTGGCTGAATGTTTCATATATTTATTGGTCATTTGCAGCTCTTCATTTGTGGATCATCTCCTGATGTCATTTGGCTATTTTCTATTGAGATTTTAGTCTTTTAGGTTAGAATGATTTTTATTTGTAGAATATTACTGCAAATCATATATGCTGTTACTGCTAGTATCTTTCCATTTGCTTGTTTTTAAATTCTTAACATTTTTAGATGTACTTGATTTTTTTGTTTTAATACAACCACATGTAGCATTTTTTTCTGATTTGTTTCTGTGTTAAACCCTATACCAAATGTTTTCTTTCAATTATTGTATGACTATTTATACTCAACTCTTTATTCCTCCTGGAATGTATCTGGGTATGTGTAAAGGACCAGGAACAGGTAAAAACTGCAAAAGGCTGATACAAATGTAAACTGATGATACGGTCTAATGTGAAAATAGACCTGGAGTGAATTCAGAGGTTCAGGAAAAAGTCTAACCCGCCCCCTCATCCATTCTCTGCTACAATCTATTTTTTTTCCCTAAACCAAATGATTCTTTGCATAATGATATTATTCATGTTCCCATTGTTTGCAGCTAATTGCTTAGAACAGTACTCCCCAAATGTGTATTCGTGGCATAGAAAGAAAAGGAAAATCATTGCATAGGGCACGGTTTAACAGCGGAGGCTACGTAACAACTGCCAGAGTTAAGGAGGCCCTGAGCCCCACCACTCGAAGGGCACATTAGCACATCTGGAACCCATCTGTGGCCTACCCCTGTTTCAGAACAGCTCTGCTACTCATGTTCCTCTGATAAAATTCCCTTCTCCACTGATACGTTGCGAAGGTTTTAGAAAACAGATGCCCGGTGATGATGTAGAGAAGCGCAACTATGACTGAACAAAATAAGCATCAGGAAACCATCTTCCTGCCCTTTTGTCCTGGACCTTGGCAAGATAAGGAGCGGATACTGAACTTCAAGAAGACAACTCAACACTGGTTGTGTTATTGGGACATATGAAATCTTTGTGAAAGATACCTTCTCTCAGCCAAGTTAGGCTAAGGAAACTGAGTGACTCCCACAGTGTGGAAGTATCTGGTCATTAAAATCTTCTAAGTTACTACAAGCCAAGGGTCTCTGCCTCTTCAAAGGAGACATAGTTGCAGGAGCCAAAGGCCCCAGCATTAGTTACATTATGGCTCTAACTTTTTCTTTTTTTTTTTTAACTTTTAGAGAATGATCCACTTTCCCTGCTCATATTTAAAGATTTTATTTTTATTATTTATTTGACAGAGAGACACAGCGAGAGAGGGAACACAAGCAGGGGGAGTGGGAGAGGGAGAAGCAGGCTCCCTGCAGAGCGGGGAGCCCGACGCGGAACTCGATCCCAGGACTCCGGGATCATGACCTGAGCCGAAGGCAGTCGCTTAACCGACTGAGCCACCCAGGCGCCCTCCCTGCTCATATTTAAAATCACCTTAAAAATTAAAAAAATAAAATAAAATAAAGCCACCTTTACCATACACCGAATTCTTTTTTTTTTTTTTTAAAGATTTTATTGATTTATTTGACAGAGAAGAGACAGCGAGAGAGGGAACACAAGCAGGGGGAGTGGGAGAGGGAGAAGCAGTCTCCCCGCCTAGCAGGGAGCCCGATGTGGGACTTGATCCCAGGACCCTGGGATCATGACCTGAGCCGAAGGCAGACGCTTAATGACTGAGCCACCCAGGCACCCCCATACACTGAATTCTTATATACCAAAGTGCCCTCATAATTCAAGTATTTATTGACCATGTAATCTGTTATTGGTGTTGAATCATAACATAAAATACTCTTAGAAAAAGCCTGGGCCTCCTCTAATATCTTTCTCTACTTCACAGTATCATCTATGTTCACGCCTGTATTTGCCAGTGTCTTGCATTCTAAAATACAATGCAAGTGCAATGAAAATCCATTACAAAGTGAACTGGCAAATCTCACAAAATACGTAGGATTTCATGACATTGATAAACATGATGGAGAACTATTCAAATCGTGAACATAGCTACAGAATGTGTCAGTCCCGTTAGCAATTAAAGGGCAGAAGCTAAGGCCAAAAGGGCAATGACACAAGAAGTTTATTAAAGAATGATCTGATTAGAGAGAAACCCTTACAAAAATGAAGTCTAGGATATTTTTGAAAATGATTCAATTAAGGAGTAGAAATCAAACATGAAATGAAAACTATCATTTCATGTTTCAAATAATTTTGTCAAGAAAAAATGCCAAAAAATTATTTCTAAGAGTTAAAATATTTAACTTCATTACATAGGAAATTTGTTTATTTTTATAATTTTAGCAAAAAATTTCAAGTCAAAGTTTTAGTAAAACTATTTATGATGAAAATCTGGTCCCTGATTTAAGTGGATTTAATTTAAATGACCTTCTGGTATTGGTTATACTCAATAATTATCTGTTTAAAGGTATTGATTGCTTATATAATTGTGTAGCAGTGTTAACACAGATTTAATTTGCTTTAATATATGATAGGGCCAGTCTCTCCTTTCTAATATTTTAATTTTAAAAACTTACTCTTTCGGGCCCCTGGGTGGCTCAGTTGGTTAAGCCACTGCCTTCAGCTCAGGTCATGATCCTGGAGTCCCGGGATCGAGTCCCGCATCAGGCTCCCTGCTCGGCGGGGAGTCTGCTTCTCCCTCTGACCCTCCCCCCTCTCATGTGCTTTCTCTCTCTCATTCTCTCTCTCTCAAATAAATAAATAAAATCTTAAAAAAACAAAAAAAAAACTTACTCTTTCTTGTTCATCCATGCAACTGATATCAAAGAAATTCATTTAAAATCCCTAGAAATTAATTTAAATCTATTGAAATCTTTATTGGAATTCATTAAACCTCTTTACCAATTTAGGAAGAATTAGGTAGTCTGTTTGCTATATTCAGTCTTTCTATCAAGAAAAATTATATATACCTCCATTTATTTGTTTTCCTTAATCTCTTTTTAGGAAAGTTTCCTCACATAGGTCTTATATATTTCTTGCTGAATTTATTCACAGGTAATATCAGTGTACCTATCTATCAAATCACCATTTAAAAAAGACTATTTCTATTGAACCAAGATACCAATCAAAAGAGCCAGATTACTTTTCCTTAAAGAAAACAAGTGATTTTCAAAGACAGGGCCAATAAGGAAGGAATAAGGTGGGAACTTATTTCTAGCAACAGAACGGAACAAGACATCCTGAATAAACCTCCCATTATAAAACATCTTTTATACTGGATTAAGCATGAAAAACATTTTTTTAAGTAAATTAATGTAAGGGAAATCCTTAGAGGCCAAAAAGAAAACAAAAGCAGAAAACCAAATATGTGATCAAGTAGGGGAGGCAGTCATGGCACAAAGAGTATCTGTTGATGCCTGGTGACCTAGTTTTTAGCAGCAGAATATATATTCCTCTCAAGTTTATGTGGAACATTCTTCAGGATAGACCAAATACTAGGCCATAAAATAAGCTTCAAGAAGTTTAGGGCAGGGGGTGGCATCTGGGTGGCTCAGTCGGTTAAGCACCCAACTCTTGATTTGGGCTCAGGTCATGATCTCAGGGTCCTGGGATTGAGCCCCACATTGGGCTCCACACACAGTGGGGAAACTGTTTGAGAAGTCTCTCCCTCTGCTCCTCCCCCTGCTCGCACTCGCACACTCTAAAATATCTTTAAAAAAAAATTCAAAAGGGCTGAAATCAAACGAAATGTTATCCAACCACATGGAATGAAATTAGAAATCAGTAACCAAAGAAATAAGGGAAATTCACTAATACGTGGAAGTAAAACAACAAACTTTTAAATAACCAAGGATCAGAAAAGAAACCAAAAGGAAATAAGAATACTTTGAGATGAATGAAAATGAAGACCCAATCTACCAAAACTTATGGGATACAACTAAAGCAGTGTTTAGGAGAAAATTTATAGCTGTAAATGCCCATACTAAAAAAAAGAAAAATCTCAAATCAATAACCTAAACTTCCACCTAAACTACACCAGAAAGAGAAGAGCAAAATAAACCCAAAACAAGTAGAAGGAAGGAAATAATAGACTAGGGTAGAAATTAATGACATGAAGAATAGAAAAGCAATAGACAACCTCAACAAAACCAAAAGTTGATTCTTCGAAAATATCAACAAAACTGGCAAACTTGTAACTAGACTGACCAAGAAAAAAGGAAAGAAGACTCCAATGATTAAAATCAGTAAAGAACGGGCGTTGCTGTTAACATTACAGAAATAAAGATGATTATAAGGGAATGCTATGAACAACTATATATACACCACGAAATTAAGTAATAAATGAAATGTAAAAATTCCTAGGAGGACACAAACTACTAACACTGACCTCAGACGAAAGGGAAAATTTGAACAGACCTATAACAAGTGAAAACATTGATTTAGCAATCAAAAAACAACCTATGAAGCCCAGGCCTGATGACATCAATGGTGAATTCTACTAAACATTTAAAATATAATGAAATCTTTCCATTTGCAATGACATGGATAGAGCCAGAGAGTATAACGCTAAGTGAAATAAGTCAGTCAGAGAAAGGCAAATTCCATATGATTTCACTCCATTGTGTAATTAAGAAACAAAACAAACGAAGGGGGGAAAAAAAAGGAGGGGGCTGCTAAGAAACAGACTCTTTAACTATAGAGAACAAACTGATGTTTACCAGAGGGGAGGTGGGTGGGGGGATGGGTTAAATAGGTGATGGGGATTAAGGAGTGCACTTGTTGTGATGAGTACCGGGAGATGCATGGAATTGTTGAATCACTATATT